CAAGACGCCTTCGAAATCGCAGAAAACCTTGCAGCACCTGTCCCAGTAGAGTCTGTAAGCTACGCAGACCTGAAGAAGCTGCTGAAGGAGCACTTCCACCCCAAGGTGTCCGTTATCTCATGGCGCCACACCTTCGAACAAAGGGATCAACGGTCCGGTGAGTCAGCCAAGGAATACATCGCCGCGTTACGGAAGGCCGCCAAGCCCTGCGAGTTCAAGGACCTCGAGGAACGACTGAGGGACCGATTCGTGTGCGGGTTAAGGCATCGCGAGCTACAACAGAGACTTTTCGCAAAGGAAGAATTATCCTTCCAAGACGCCTTAAGGGAAGTCACCGCAGAAGAAGCAGCAGGCGGCGCCGTCAAAAACATGCGGCCGATCAGAAACAGTGCAGAGGGTGCGTCCGTGCACCAGGAAGACGTCCGACGAAACTCCGAGGAGGATCCGGACGAGGAAGTCGACCGTCTACACCCCGCGAAGGAAGAGAACCAGAAGGGAAGCTCTTCGGCTCCGCTCAAGTGCATCGGTTGTGGAGGTCGCCACAGGAGAACCGACTGCAAGTTCCGCTCCGCTACCTGCCGGGCATGCGGTAAACAAGGGCACATTGCAGCTGTGTGCCTGGGCCGACGAAAGGCACAACCCCAAGAAGAACGCCTGAAGGGTACCAGATTCCCCAGCCAGAATAGGGTAGGTTTTTGCGCTTCGCGAAGAAGCATCTGTAGAACAGGCACACACAAGCCCATGAAGAAAAAGCTGTCACTCAACGTGAAGCTACAAGGGGTTCCATTATCTATGGAACTAGACACAGGGTCTGCCCTGTCCATCATTTCATTGCATACATTTAGGAAGATTTGTTCCAGAAGTGGGTCTAAGGCCAAGTTAAGGCCTTCTGATATTGTATTAACAGATTTTCAGAACTCAAGAGTGTGTGTTAAGGGGGAGGCCACCCTTAACGTGCAATACAAGAGTTTTGAAGGTCCACTAGACTTATTAGTAGTAGGGGGTGAACGAACGAGTCTCATAGGACTCGATTGGTTTGAGGCCCTGGGGATACACGTCACAGGACTCAATAGCTTACAAACACTCGACCACAGGAAGTCTGCACAGAATTTGCAGATGTTTTCAGCCCCCAGCTGGGCACATTCAAAGGACCACCTGTGTCCTTAAAGCTAGACCCCACTGTCACTCCCATTAGGATTAAAGCAAGAAGGGTCCCTTTTGCTTTAAAAAGTAAGATTGACACTGAACTAGACAAACTAATCCAACAGGGAATCCTAGAACCTGTTGATTCCAGCCCGTGGGAGACCCCCATTGTCACGCCTCTAAAGGCAAATGGGGACATTCGCATTTGTGCTGATTACAAATGCACACTCAATAAGGCATTGCAGCAACATGCCTATCCTGTTCCTGTGGTCAGTCACATCCTGGCCTCTCTCAAGGGGGGGCGTGTTTTTGCAAAGCTTGACCTAGCTCAAGCATATCAACAGCTGCCTGTTGATGATGATGCTGCCATAGCTCAGACCATTGTGACCCACAGGGGAGCCTTTAAAGTAAAAAGGCTACAGTTTGGAGTGAATGTCGCTCCTGGGATTTTCCAAAGCGTTATGGAAAACACACTACGAGGTATACCAGGGGTCTGCCCCTACTTTGACGATGTCTTGATTGCAGGAGACTCCACACACATTCTAGCTGAAAGGCTTAGGGCTGTCCTGTTAAGATTCAGGAAATCAGGCCTCAAGCTCAGAAAAGACAAATGCCAGATTGGGGTGCCTTCTACTGAATTTCTGGGATTCAAAATTGATGCTGCTGGGATTCATCCTGCTGAATCCAAACTAACTGCTATTTTAGATGCACCCAGGCCAAAGTCTAAGGCCGAACTTCAGGCCTTTCTAGGCCTCCTGAATTTCTACAATTCTTTTCTTCCACATAAAGCTAGTGTAGCTGAGCCTCTTCACAGGCTACTAGACAAACAGGCTGTGTGGCTGTGGTCACAAGCGCATGAGGCTTGCTTTAAAGAAGTCAAGGCCTTGCTCACTTCTAACAGTGTTCTTGCACATTTCAACGAGTCTCTCCCTGTGTGCATCGCTTGTGATGCGTCCCCCTACGGGGTTGGAGCTGTCCTGAGTCACCTCAGGTCTGATGGAACTCAGGTTCCTATTGCATACTACTCCAGAACACTGTCTTCTGCCGAGCGCAACTACGCTCAGATAGACAGGGAGGCTCTGGCTGTTGTTGCTGGAATTAAAAAATTCCACGATTTTCTATATGGCAGGCATTTCACGGTCTTCACTGACCATAAGCCTCTGCTGGGACTGTTTACCACACGTAAGCAGACTCCCCACATCATTTCCCCTAGAATGCTTAGGTGGTCTATTTTTTTGTCTGCATATGATTTTTCATTACTCCACAAGCCTGGGAAAGAAATGGGCCATGCTGATGGCCTCAGTAGATTGCCTCTGCCAGTAGTAGAAGCTGACCCTGCGCCAGCTGTCAACATTCTATCAATCCAAGCCTTGCCCGAGCTCCCTCTTAGTGCCAGGGATGTTACCGCTGAAACAGGTACAGATCACACACTTTCACGTGTCCGCTCCTGGGTCCTGTCCGGGTGGCCTGAGCACTGCCCTAGTCCTGAGTTTCAGAGTTTCTGGTCCAAAAGAAACGAACTGTCCCTTTCTCAGGGTTGTCTGCTTTGGGGAAACAGAGTTGTCATTCCCACCTCAATGAGGACTAGGGTCTTAGAATCCCTCCACGAGGGTCATCCTGGCATTGTTCGTATGAAGGCTCTTGCACGCAGCCACTTGTGGTGGCCTGTTTAGATAAAGATATTGAGGCTAAGGTACACGCATGCCACCTGTGCCAACGATCTCGCCCAGAGATGCCCCAAGCTCCTGTGCATAGATGGGAGGAAACACAGTCCCCATGGTCTAGGGTGCACATTGACTACGCTGGGCCCTTTCAGGGCCAGTTCTTCTTGGTCCTTGTTGACAGCCATTCAAAATGGCTTGAGGTTGTGCCTGTCTCATCCACCACCCACTGCAAAGACTATTCAGGTACTGAGGGGGATTTTTGCTGCACACGGGCTGCCAGATGTCATTGTGTCCGACAACGGCCCTCAATTCACCTCCTCCGAATTCCAAGCTTTCTTACAGGCAAACCTGATTTGTCATGCCACGTCTGCGCCTTTTCACCCGTCCACCAACGGTATGGCTGAACGCATGGTGCGCATCGCAAAGGACGCCTTGAAGAGACTCACCTACGGGGACTGGCATCACAGGTTGGCTGACTTTCTCCTTTCTTATCGCACCACACCGTCCACTTCTACAGGGAGAAGTCCAGCTGAACTTCGTTGGGGGCGCCAACTTACTACTAGACTTGACCGGTTGCATCCGGACAGACTGCCTTCATCTACCTCACATCCTAGGGCACCTAGACAACTACTTGTGGGTGCCCCGGTTTGGGCTCGCAATTACGGGCCTGGTCATACATGGGTCCCCGCTTCTGTGTCCAGGATCACAGGTCCTCTCTCCTACGAGGTTGCCCTGGACAACGGTCGTGTCCTGCGTCGGCACATCGACCAACTTCGCTCTAGGCGAGACTTTTCTGCTGAGACTCCTGGGTCTTTTCCAGGGGGGGAGGGGGACCCTTTGGAGCAAAGGGAAGGGCAAGAGCTACTGCCCATCTCCACTGAGGGAGCCACAAACGGCTCGTCCCAAGGTTCTGCAATTGCTCCGAAAAGAAGTCATGGAGCTTATCCACACAACAGGCACTCACGCCTACTCCAGCCAGGGAGTCACCCCGGGGGCATACTCACTTTCCACACACATCACACAGCACTCCAGCAACGGAGGATACCCGGGGGCATCCCAACAAATCATTCCCCGCAAGAGAGCTGGCACACAATTCCCAAGGTTGGCCTGACCTTACCCCAAATCCTACAGGGGGTCAAACATACACAGAGCTAGTCGAGGAACCAAGTCCCGACTACAACAACCCTAGCACAAATCAGGGAACACCTGAGTTTTGGGAAAGTACAGAAACCCACACGAGCCCGAACACAGAATGGGGTTCAGGGAATGGACAGCCTCCTGACAGGTCTTGGACTGACCTAGGAGGTTCTACAGAGACGCCCAGCAGCGGCTATCACTTCAAGGGGCCTGAGGGTCTACAGCTAGGTAGGTCAACCAGGTCACAAAGTAACAGAAGCCCTGGCCTGACGAGCCCGGTGGGCAAGCAAGCAGGCCAGGCATCGGGGCACAGTCCTTGGAAGACACCAGGGCACAATAGAGAGAACAGGCTCACGCCTCCCTCCAGTCAGGGGACTTATGCCAGTAACCCAGAGCTAAGAAGGTCACAGAGAGCAAAGAAATCTCCTAAGTATCTAGAAGATTACATAACATTGCTGGCAAGGCAAAAGCCAGTAATCAGTGGGAGCACTGGGGAGCAAAATGTCATATAAAATAAATGTTGTATGTTGGTAGTAGTTTTAGCCCGGGGGAAAGGGGTGTTATGTCCCGAGCCTTGCAAACGGCTCGGGCGTTTGCAGGCAGTCCCGGGCAGGTGCAAAGCTGCCCGGGACCAGACAGGCTGTCGCCAGCGCCGTGCGCATGCGCGGGTGCTGGCGCGGGAAAAGTAACCCATTTACCCGGGAGTTGCCTATATAAGAGGCTGCGAGGCGTTTGGGCGAGGCTGAAGCCATCTTCCTGTAAGCTGAATGCTGAATAAATGAAACTGAGAACTCCAGCTGCTTCTCGTGTCTGTTTTCCCGCCACGGACTCAACATGTACCTTCGTATCCATTCATGCTAAGATTGAGAAAACATTTTTATGATGCCCTTTAAGATCAAGAGAGGGGATTCCATTATTTTGATACACACATAGTCACACACATTATTTATAAAGAAAGCAACACAAATGATCTGTCCTTCTCTACTTTCTGAGATGCACTCTGATTTATACTTCTTCTAACCACGGTTGACCCTTTGTTTTTATTTCTTCACTCAGAGTCCTGCGAAGGGGTGGACTGTGGAGCAGGCAAGGTTTGCAAAATGAAGCATAGACGCCCGCAGTGTATCTGTGCTCCAGATTGCTCCAACCTTCCCAGGAAGCTTCAAGTATGTGGTTCCAATGGTTTCACCTACCAAGATGAATGTGAGCTTCTCACTGCCAAATGCAAAGGGCTGCCTGACCTGGAGGTCATGTATCAAGGACAATGCAAAAGTGAGTTGGGCTCTTCCTCCATGGGGGTTTCTGATCTATGACGGGGGTCTTCAAACTTGGCCACTTTAAGACTTGTGGACTTCAGCTCCCAGAATTCCTCAGCCAGCTGGGAGTTGAAGTCCACAAGTCTTAAAGTGGCCAAGTTTGAAGACCCCTGGTCTAAATGTATAACGGATATTCATCTATGTGTTGGAGATGTAAAAAAGAAAAGGACACCTTTTTTCATGTATGGTGGACATGTAGAGAAGCACAGGTCTACTGGCATATGGTCTGGGATTGGGCAATAGAAATGACTAGGCAAAACATTCAATACAAACCGGAGACATTACTATTAGGAATACTAGAGGAAAATGTAAATAAAGAGGACACATATTTAATTATCCATGTGGTCACAGCAGCAAGGATACGATTTGCTCAAAAGTGGAAAGCAATGGAAGTACCAAGTGGGGAAGCACTAATAAAGAAAATTATATATTGCGCAGAACTAGATAGGATAACTAAAAGATTAAAAAATAAGGAAGAAACAGAATTTTATCGAATATGGAATAAATTTTATAGATGGAGGGAAAAAATGGAGGTCACATTAAAGAGATAAACTGAGATAGAGACTAGAAATGTAGTTATATATAGGTATATTATATGTAATTAATGTACAATATGGACTGAAATGTCAGTCAAAGACAATTTACCATGTTCAATGTTTTTAATCCTTTCTTTTCTTTGTACTTAATAAAAATTAAAAATAAATAAAATAAAATAAAATAAAAGGGATATTAAAAGATGAGTGAAGCCTCCAGATCAGTGATTCTCAACCCTTAGCAGGTTTAAGATAGATGGACTTCAACTCCCAGAATTCGACAGCCAGCATGCTGAGAGTTGAAGTCCACCCACCTTAAAGTTGTCAAAGTTGAAAAAAACTTCAGAGGAAAGAGACTCTTAATGCCACATAATGGGATCAACAATGGGAAGGAGGATATTGCCCTCATGCAATTTTTGATTCTTCATGAGTTAGAATGTTGGTCTAGTCAGAAATTTTATTATTTTATTGGTTTATTTTGATTTATATAGCCACTCATCCCAATACTATGACTCTGGGCATCCTTCTATTGTGTTCCATAGAAATGCAAGGAACCTCCATGTCAAGAGACAGTCTACCCCCAAATGCTACCTGCCAAGGTTGATCTCAATGTCTTTTTTTTGCAACAGAATCTTGCTCCAGTGTTGTCTGCCCCGGAACCCACACCTGTGTTGTGGACCAGACCGGGAGTGCTCACTGTGTGATGTGTCGAGTTGAACCCTGTCCAGACCCCACCAGCCTAGACCACACAATCTGTGGGAACAACAATGTGACCTACCCTTCTACTTGCCACCTACGGCGAGCCACCTGCTATTTTGGTCAATCCATAGGGATCCGGCATTACGGAAGGTGTACAGGTATGTTTGGCTTTGATGGGGGAAACTAGCATGGCATGAGCCAGTGACTTTGCACCAAAGGGCCAGAGATCTTGTAGTTTTGGGGGTACTCACTGGGGAGGGGTCAAAAATGTCAAGATGGAAACCATCACAGTCTAATAGAAACCCCGCCCTTTTCTTACATGAGCTATGGCTTTAATTCAGGGGTCTTCAAACTTGGCCCTTTTATGACTTATGGACTTCAACTCCCAGAATTCCTCAGCCAGGCACACTGATTGAGGAATTCTGGGATTTGAAGTCCACAAGTCATAAAAGGGCCAAGTTTGAAGACCCGTGCTTTAAATGCTTGGTGGTGGCCACCATCTTGAATTTTTAACTCCCCCCCCCCAGGAGAAACTCCTGCAGCAGTTTGCAGTTGCTTCTGGGTTTGTACCCCCAATGTCAAACATCATGATTGTCCCAAATCTGGACAATCTTATTTCACACATAACTGGGAGGGAGAGCATTCTCCCCTTGAATTTTAAATTTAGATGGAACAACTAGGGGGAACAAACATGTTTTTTTTTCCAGGCAAGATTTAAGGACAAGGGTCCATTGCTCTCAACAGCAGTGGGCCTCCAACAAAGAAGCATTAGCTGGCCTAGTTTGGGAACAAAATAAACACCCCTCTTTAAAACCAGGGGTTCAGTCTGAGGCCTCAAGATGTAATTAAACAAAATTATACATTATCTAAAAATGTTCAGTTTAATACAGTGTTTCTCAACCTCCACATTTTTAAGTTGTGTGGACTTCAACTCCCAGAATTCTCCAGCCAGCAATGCAGATTGGGGAATTTTGGGAGTTGAAGTCCAAGTCCAAGTTCAGTTGCAGAGGTTGAGAAACACTTAAACCAGTGTTTCTCAACCTCTGCAACTTTACTTGGACTTGGACTTCAACTCCCAGAACTCCCCAGTCTGCATTGCATAGGTTTAACAGGAAGAAAGGCAGAAGGAATTGGTAGCAATGAACTTAATTTAATTCATTCCCTTCAGGGAAGACCAGGAGAGGGGTGTAGAAAAAATTAAAATGGAATCTGCAATGCATATGCAAAAATACATTCAAACTGAATAATTACATAGATAAATCAGCTTTCTATTGCATGTTGTTGTTACTGTTGTTGTTGTTGATGATGATGATGATGATGATGGAAGGGACTTTGGAGGTCATCTAGTCCAACCCCCTGCTCAGGCAGGAAACCCTATACCGTTTCAGACAAATGGCTGTCCAGTCTCTTCTTAAAAACTTCCAGTGTTGGAGCATTCACCATTTCTGGAGGCAGGTTGTTCCACTGGTTAATTGTTCTAACTATCAGGAAGTTTCTCCTTAGTTCTAGGTTGCTTCTCTCCTTGATTAGTTTCCATCCGTTGCTTCTCGTCCTGCCTTCAGGGGCTTTGGAGAATAGCTTGACTCCCTCTTCTTTGGGGCAGCCCTTGAGATACTGGAAGACTGCTATCATGTCCCCCCTCGTCCTTCTCTTCATTAAACTAGACATACCCAATTCCAGCAACTGTTCCTTATATCTTTTAGCCTCCAGTCCCCTAAAAGATGAGTGCCATCTCAACTTTTTTGACCTATCTCTGCATTTATTTATTTGTTGATTTGTTGATTTCTATGGCCGCTCAACTCCACCAAGTGATTCTGAGCAGCTTACAATTCTAAAATTCTAAAATAATTAAAAACATGTGAAAACTTCCACAAAATAAATAAATAGAAGCGCTTGATTCTATTTTAGCTTTTCCCATTTGCCTCTTGTAAACCAAATAGAGTCCTTCTCAGAAAAAAAAAAAAAATCAGCAATGTCTGCTTTAAAGAGAAGCAGATCGAGGACAATCTGTAATGATGCCCGGCATAAAATGAAAGGGGATTAATTTGTTCTTTCTTTCCTTCCATAGCTCTGAATAAAAACGCCTTGGACACAGATGATGCTGAAGAAAACTACATCTGAAAATCTATTTTGGGGTGATTTGTCCAGTTCCTAATGTTCAGGGGCATTATCTGTAATAACGTACAGACTGTGCATTATATACTTGGTATTTATTAAAACCAAAAGGAAAAAAAATCTTATTTATATAAATAGAAAGAGATGTAACCTAGACACAGACGCATTTCAATTCTTAAGTCCTAGTTTGTACCACGGGTATTGGGAAAGGGGGTCAAAAAAGTCAAGATGGTGGCAAGGACCAAGCAATGATAGCCCCACCCATTTAAAAGGGGGTGGGGCTTTGATCGCTCAGTTGCTGCCACCATTTTGAATTTTTTAGTCCTGCTTCTAGCACAGGGGGTCTTCAAATTTGGCTGCTTTAAGACTTGTGGACTTCAATTCCCAGAATTCCTCAGCCAGTATGGCTGGCTGAGGAATTCTGGAAATTGAAATCCACAAGTCTTAAAGCGGCCAAGTTTGGAGACCCCTGTTCTAGAGGATGTGCCTGATCCCTCCCAAACCCTTCACACAGATTTTCCTCCAAAACTGAGAAAAGTTTTCTTCCATTGTTCTAAGGAAAATCCATTTTTATCCTTTCAAAATGAAATTTGCTTAATTCAAAACCGGGCCAGTTCTCTCTAGAATTCCCTGAAATATTTTATTTGTCCGTTTTCTTTACCCTTTTTTTGTCTTTGTGTATATTGCCTTGCTGTTTTATTGCTGCATATAACCTCATTCCCAAAACTCCCAGCCTGCCTCATTGCCTCAGTCAACCCTCCTCTATCCAAACTTTCTGCTTCAACAAGACTTCAATAATAGGTTCCTTCTGATTTAATCAAATATTCCTTTTTGATTCCTCTGTCTTCTTGGAGATGAAGTCTCCTTGACTTACAACCATTCATTTAGTGACCAAAGTTAGAACAGCCCTTTTAAAAAGTGATTTATGACCAGTTCTCACTCTTACGACCATTGCAGCATTCCCCAGGGTCATATGATCAAAATTCAGGTGTTTGGCAGCTACCATGTAATCATGATAACTGCAGCACCCCGGGGTCATGTGATCACTATTTGTGACCTTCCCACCCAGCTTCTGACAAGCAAAGTTAAATGGTGGACTCTGGGTTCGTTTAACAACCACATGATTCACTTAACAATTGCAGTGATTTGCATAACAACTGTGGCAAAAAAGGTTGCAAAATCGGGTGTGACTCAAATAACAACCATCTTGCAAAGCAATAGAAATTTGGTCCCCATTGTGGTCTTAAGTTGAGGACTGCCTCTATATTGTTACATGTCTCCACTCAGAAAATTGGAAAGTTTATGAACTTTCCAAGCAACGAAGGTTCATCATGTAAATAGGGTCTCTCTCTCTCTCTCTCTCTCTCTCTCTCTCTCTCTCTCTCTCTCTCTCTGTGTGTGTGTGTGTGTGTGTGTGTGTGTGTGTGTGTGTGTATGGAATTGGGAGGTATCACGCTGATGATAGGCAGTTTCCAACCAATTTTATCTATATGTCCATTTTAAATTTGTCATCTGCTTCACTGTGTATGTTGTAAAATGTGTACATAGCATTCTTTTACTGACAGCATGATATTCCATTCTATTCCATTCCATTCCATTCCATTCTATTCTATTCTATTCTATTCTATTCTATTCGTCCTTTTCTTTATTGTTTTAAACAGGCAATTTCTCTATTTTTGTATGCTTGAGTCCCTGGTTTTTTATTTTTTGGTTCCTTCAAGTTAGTCTTGACTCTGTGGATGCCTAGACAAGTCCCTACATTTTCCTTGGAAAGATTTCAGAAGTGGTTTGCCATTGTCTCCTTCTTAGGGCTGACTGGCCCAAGATCGCCCAGCTGGCTTTGTGTCCTGCCTTCTGGTTTCTAGCCTGGTGCCTTAACAACTAGATCAAACTGGCTATCTGATATTTTTTTTACACCCTTTCATTTATCAGATGTCGTTCTAGAACAAGAGTGTCCAACCTTGACAACTTTAAGACCTGTGGACTTCAACCCCCAGAATTCTCCACCAGCTTAATAACTGCGGCATTTGCTTCACAACCATTGACACAAAAGTTCATAAAATCAGGTTGCTCCTATGGGTGACCCGCTTTACAACCATCACAACTTGCGATCACAATGGGCACATTCCATTTGAAGTCTTTACTATACAGAACTTCAACACCAACAACAAAAACCTGCACTTTTCTTTAGCAGTCTCTTAGCTACATCAAGGAATAAGCCTTTTTTTTGCTGAATTTGAACAATTAAGAGAAGACTAAAGAAATGGGGGGGGGGAATGGCATGGCCTTGTCTTTTTGTTCTCTTTATTTTCTTTTACTTTTTTGACTGAAGGGGGAAGAACTGAGGTGCTGGGCAAACAGGAATGGTTGGCTGGCAATCTCCATATTCCCCAAATCTAAACGAGATTGTTTTATAAGATTTAGGGAAAAACAAAAGGAAGAGTCTGGAGGAGCACTAATAAATTTGTTCTTTTCATTCCTCTGAATTTCTTGTTTGTGAAAATTTATTCAAGGGGGATTTGGATGTTGTCCTGACATTGCAATCTACCTCACCTCATGGGAGTTTTTGCTGTGTTTTGAGGGAGTAACCCCCCCCCCAAGTTTTTCTAAGTTGCCTCCCTATTTTCACCTGTAAAATACTGGTGGTAGCACAATTCAGTTAACGGAAAGCCAAGTCAAGTTTGTCGCTGAAATGCGTAAACATCAGTGTTGTGGTTTGGGGTTGTTTTGAATCAAGTGTATGAGCTACAACTCTTCTACTAAAGAATTTTGGTGGCCTCTACTTAATTTTTCTCAGAAAAAGCAACAGATGTGTCTTCTAATCACATCCAGCTTAACAAATCATCCAGCAGGCAAAGTTTTATGGCTGCCGTAATTGGTTTCTGAAGCAATTGTCAAATTACTCCAGATGGGATGGTTCTAATTTTACAAAATAGGGAGCGAAGGGAAAACAGGGTTCATTCAGGCCAAATGGAAAAGGCAGGGAAATTGTTGTGGCCCAGCAGCAGTGACACCACAAACAGGAGGCAGAAAACAGAAGGTCAGGAAACACCATCTTTGTCCTAGGGAAAAGGAACTTATTAAAGTTAATTCCTGTTGCGGTAGGTTGCATCTGTTGAAAGAAAAGTCTTCATCATGGTTCAGTCCATAAACAACATGATGACTGCTTTAGAAAGAAGGTGGCAGTTTATTGAAGAGGAGAGCCAGACAGAAAGATGGCTCTGGAAGAAAAGAGAGTGAGCACATGTAGGGAGTGGGTTTTTATACCCTCTGGAGCCTTTTGTTTGGAGTTGTTCCTGTGGCATGAACTTTGATCTGAGTCTGAGTGTTCCCTTTGGCATCTGTGGGTTAATCCTATTATGTCCTGTCTTAGAGTTTGGGTGGGGTATGTAGATTTTAGGTGCCTTTGTCTTCCTAAGCTTCTAGCTGGGGGCCTCCAACTTTCCTGGATTATTTACATCTGCATTTCTACAGAGCTGGTTTCTGCTTGGGGGAGGGAGACCTGGGGCTATTAAGAAAACTGGGCATGCTTTTCTGCCTCTTTAAGATCCTTTGAGAAAATCTATTTTTCTGCCCTTTTAATATTTCCTTCTCTGGGGGGCTGACTTCCCACACATCCTTCTGCCTGAAAGCGTCGATTCATTTTGGCTCCTGGACAGATTGTGCCTCTTGCTGAGAGGCACAATTCTATGAAAAAATATTGTGTAGTCCAGTGCATTAAAAAAAGTTATATAAAACCTATAAAGACTTCCTCAAGAGCGTTGCATCTCCATCCTAATTTTTGCTAGCCTTTTGCTAGCCCTATGTGTGCATTGTACTCACTTATACCCTATAGGGGACAGGGGACCATAAGGTGTTCCTTCAATTTACAAGAACTGCTTTATTTTTTGCTTTCTCAACTGTAAGCACTTTCAACTCACTCTTGGTGATTGTATGAGTGGATACAGCTAATAATAAACTGTCAAAAAGTTTCAATCACTGGACAATCTTTTCAAATTAGTCACAAACACAAACATGTTACTATCTAGGACAAAAATATTTAGCCCACTGGTGTTTGGACTTTTGAGGGGAATTCTCTCTTCAGTTTGCAAACCAGCAGAAGTGTTTCATCTTTAGGCTGTTATCATCTCAGCAGACTTGCAAGGCAGCTCAGCAGAGAAGTAGGCTTATAAAAATCAAGAGAACTTTAAATCATAATTTTGGTCATTGCTGAGCCAGGTGACTCCCAGGGAACCTAATTTAATGCTCATCCTTGGCATTGCTAGAAGAAAGATGTGAACAGAGATGCTTCGTTTTTGTCACATTACAAAGGGAGGAAGTTGGCCCTCCCCTGCATGAGATCACGGCAGCAGAGAAAGCAGGATTAGATCTCTGAATAGTTTAATCTTGAAAAAGCAGCTTTCTCTGTTATCTTCTGCATTCAGGATAAACAATAGATCAATATTCTGACTTATTTGAGGCCACCGGGCAAGAGTTAATGTCTCGGGATGAAGTAGCTTAACCTATTTTAAACTGAAAATTCTCTTTCGGTCTAAAATATTAAGCACATTATAAAACAGCTTTTTAGCCCAAGATTATGGGGATGGAGTGGACTAAACTTAACCAGATTGGGCAGAGTCCTAACATCTGCATTCACACAAGTTAAGCGTAATAGTTTTAAACTTTCCTTCCTAATAATAATAATTATAGTAGTGGTAGTAAAGTTGGAAGGGACCTTGGAGGTCATCTATTCCAACCCCCTGCTCAGGCAGGAAACCCTACACCATTTCGGACAAATGGTTGTCGTCTCTTCTTAAAAACTTCCAGTGTTGGAGCATTTACTGCTTCTGGAGGCAGGCTGTTCCACTGATTAATTGTTCTCATTGTCAGGAAATTTCTCCTTAGTTCTAGGTTGCTTCTCTCCTTGATTAGTTTCCATCCGTTGCTTCTTGTCCTGCCTTCAGGTGCTTTGGAAAATAGCTTGATTCCCTCTTCTTTGTGGCAGCCCCTGAGATATTGGAACACTGCTATCATGTCCCTCCTCATCCTTCTCTTCATTAAACTAGACATACCCAATTCCAGCAACCATTCCTTATATGTTTTAGCCTCTAGTCCCCTAATCATCTTTGTTGCTCTTCTCTGTACTCTTTCTAGAGTCTCAACATCTTTTTTACATCGTGGTGACCAAAACTGGATGCAGTATTCCAAGTGTGGCCTTACCAAGGCATTGAAGAGTGGTAGTAATACTTCACGTGATCTTGATTCTATCCCTCTGTTAATGCAGCCTAGCACTGTGTTGGCCTTTTTGGCAGCTGCAGCACACAGTTGGTTCATATTTAAGTGATTGTCTACTACTATTGAGCATGGTGCCACCTATGCTGTACTTGTGCATTTTGCTGTACTTCCTTCCTTCCTTCCTTCCTTCCTTCCTTCCTTCCTTCCTTCCTTCCTTCCCTTCCTTCCTTCCTTCCTTCCTTCCTTCCTTCTCTTTTTCTTTCTTTTTTTCCCTCCTTCCCTGCCTCCTTCCTTCCTTCCTTCCTTCCTTCCTTCCTTCCTTCCTTCTGTCCTTTCTCTCTATTTCTGTTCCTTCCTTCCTTCCTTCCTTCCATCCATCCATCCATCGTTGAATACACTATGTGAATCTAGCAAATGCTGCACACCATAACCAGATTAAGATGTTGTATCAAACACAGCCATGAAAACTTTCTCTGGGAAGTTTCAGAGAGATTGGAACGATTAGGGTCTTGTTTGTTCCTACTCTGTTTCTTCCGTCCTCTGAACTGTATCCAGGCAAATGTGACCAGAGCTCTCCAATTTCCCTCCAAACAGTTCTATACATCTGCTCTTTCCTGGCAGTCAGATTTTTTAAAAGTGATTTTGGAACACCCATCAGCTGGAAAGGATCTCTTCCTAGCAGAGCCATGTGAATCTAGCAAGTGTACCAACATCATAGTGGGAAGCAAAGGCCACAATAACAGAATAACAGAGTTGGAAGGGACCTTGAAGGTCCACCCCCTGCTCAAGCAGGAGACCCTATATCATTTCAGACAAATGGCTGTCCAGTGTCCATAAAAACCTCCAAAGTTGGAGCACCCACAGCTTCTGGAGGCAAGCCATTCTATTGATTAATTGTTCTCACTGTCAGGAAATTTCTCCTTAGTTCTAGGTTGCTTCTCTCCTTGATGAGTTTCCATCCGTTGCTTCTTGTTCTTCCTTCAGGTGCTTTGGATAATAGCTTGACTCCCTCTTCTTTGGGGCAGCCCCTAAGATCTTGGAAGACTGCTATTATGTCCCCCCTCATCCTTCTCTTCATTAAACTAGACATACCCAATTCTTGCAACTGTTCTTCACATGTTTTAACCTCTAATCATCTTTGTGGCTCTTCTCTGCACCGTTTCCAGAATCTTTCCAGAGTTTCGTGACAATCAAAACTGGATGCAGTATTCCAAGGCATCCATCATACCAAGGCATTATAAAATGGTAACTAACGTTACACCTGATAGTAAGACCACACTGCAGGATGATTAGATTGATTTCTCTCTTTTACGGCTCTTGTTGCCAGGTTGCTTCATTCTAAAAGTATTGGAGCAGCTTACAAAGGATACAGAAGGAATAGCGAAGAATTAATAGAAGAAAAAAGAAAACCATCCAGTGGTAGGATTCAGCCGGTTCACACCAGTTCGGCGGAACCGGTAGTTAATTTTTTGTTGCCCAGGCCCAGAACGGACTTCCGGAAGTGGCATCCACACAGAGAACCGGTTGTTCACATATTTGGATCCCACCACTGGCTCCATCCCATATTCTCATCTCGCCCAGAAGAATCAACTTTGGTCTCTTAGTTTCATCTTTCATTTTGGATGGGGTTCGGTGTGAATTGCGGGCCCTTCCGGAACCCACAGCTCCAGTTTCAGGATTAGGTGGCTCCATTGTCCAAAAGGGCCTTTCCACAACTTTGTGTGGTGTGCCAATTATGCCCCTTCCTGGATTAGGAGCATTACACACACAGGCAGCCATGCTTCAGTTGCCTCTTAAGTAGATCACTGCAATGTGGTTTGCATGTGCCTCCCCTCAGAAAACATCCAGAAGTTGCAACTGATCAGAATGGTCCAAACCTAATCCAGCAAAAACTAATCCAGCAAACCATTTTATGTTTTTTTGCTTAGAGTTATTTTGTGTTCATCTGTTGTTTTTACACTAATGATGTTTCACATTCTGTTAGCCACCCAGGGTCAGGCATGCAAGATAAATGGCCAGATACATCCAATAAATTAAAATATTTTTTTTAAAAAAAATGTCCTAGTCAATGACACTCTGAAGAAAACATTTGTAATGGCCAAAGGGCCTTGTGCAGAGAGGGGATATATCGGACCTCAAGAATTTTTTTTTGCAACCGGATTGGATGGTTTTTCTGAAGCATGATAGCAATCATTCAATATTTGAGGAGCTACGAAAAAGAAGGGGGGGGGTGTTTCCATCTATCTTTTCCCAAACACTTGAAGGCAGGACA